TAATATGACAGAGTGAAATGAAAATATGACCGTGGTTGTGAAAAGTGTTTCAGTGTGTTGGTGAGAATTAGGCTGTTCTTTTTCATCATGAGTTTTTTTCCCTCCACTTTAGCTTTTGAAGTAGCACCTTTGAGAGAGGAGAAGCCACAGGGAGGGGAGTAGATAGGGAAGGACAAATGCAGCCACAGGCCATTTGCAGAGTAGATTGCTAATGATAATTTCTCATGAGACAGAATGAGCACAGTTCTGGAATGAGTGACTAGTTGACTGTAGGTAAAACTGACCTAAAATTTTCAAGAGGAATTTTTGAACCTTAAAAAATTGCCTACACTTCTGTGTATTTAAATTAGATATGAACATTAATCTCTATAGACCTAGAAAGTGGTTTATTTTTATTTTTTTAAACGGTTTTATTTGTTTATTCATGAGAGACACAGAGAATGGCAGAGACCTAGGCAGAGGGAGATGTAGGCTCTGTGTGGGAGGTCTGATTCGGGACTCAGTCCCAGCACCCCCGGACCATGACCTGAGCCAGAGGTAGACACTCAACCACTGAGCCACCCAGGTATCTGAAAATAGTTGAGTTTAGTAACTAATTCCAGAGTCTGTGATCTAAAGTAAATCATACAACAGAGGAGATGCTTTGTGACTGCATCATATCTTCTTATTTACTCTGTATGAGTCCATGGCTATTAATAGTCAGAGGGTAGTCAAGAGACCAAAATTCTGTTCTCTGCTTCATCATCTTGCCATTTCTTGTCCTCGTTCACAAATTTTCAAAACTCTTCTCACCATGTAGTTTCACTTCAGGCACGTGGTCCAAATGAAAGATCAGCTGTCCAGAGTGCTATGCTCAAAAAACTGTGTTCTCTTGGTACCTGGTTAAATAATATGGGACTTATTTTCTGTCAGAGTGGTGTCAAGTCTCCTTTGATGTTAGCCAGAACTGGGTGGAGTTTCTTAAGCTCCAGTCAGATTTGCTCAAGCAGGGCACTGCACAGCGTTGAGTTTGTTTTTAGTCTCTCCCTTTGCCAAAAAGCTTTTGCCTTTTAATAAACCTGAACCCAGTTATATTTGGGAGCACTTGATATGTAAAAGTCACACATGCACATTGAGGATCTACGTGCATCTTGTTTATTTCTAACCTAAGTGATAAATCTAAATTATAAGCAGTTTACAGAGTAATCAACCTCAGGAATCATTTAACATAGCACTCTCATTTTACAGATTAGGGAACTCAGCCCCTGCCCATGACTCACTGAAAGCTTTAGATTAAACTGGTGCCCCAGGGAAGCATAGAAACTTCTGTACCCAGCTTTCTTTCCTTGCCTGCCAGGAACAAATCCTTTTAAAGGTAAAAACTTTATACAAATGAGAAAGGAATAGCATAAATAGATCATTTCTCTTAAGTAGATAGTCCTCATTCACAAGGGTACATATTTGAATCTTCCTGAATATCCAGATTTGAGAATAACGTTGTGTCGTATACTTTTGTCCATAAATTACATAACTCAGTGTTTTAAGATATAACTGAATATTAAGTGACCTTAAATAGTTCCGTAAGTGCGGAATGAAATTCACCCATGAATTCATTAAAATCAATTCTGGAACACTTGCAGAACCAGTTTAACAAACCTGTAGAACACTTACCGAATTTTTTATACTTGTATATATTTTAGAATAGAATAACTATAAAATCGAATTTAATTTATTGAAAACTGGGGCTTTCTGGATCAAAGCCAGTACTTTCATTTTCCATAAGTAGATTGTGTGTGTGTGTGTGTGTGTAAATCATACTTCTATTTATATGTAGTAACAAGAAAGGAGTATCTAAACTATGTTAAGATACAGATGCTGAGTGGTTGGCTAGATGCACTCAGAGCCAAATGACCTTCCTGCTTTTCAGCTAATTTTCTATCAGTTACCTTCTTAAGCTGCATTTAAGCTGCTATTCAAATTCCTTGTCAGCCCAGGATGTGGTTTGGGAGGTTGGGGTGGGGGTGAAGAGAGAAAGATTACAGTGGATAAAGAGCTGACCTTTGAGAAAATGCACTCACATAAATGAGATTTAAAAGATACTGTTGATTTTGTCTGTATTTTTACCTGTATCCTAAATTAGGAAGTTTGAGTGGATTGCATGAAAAAGGTGTCATAGGTATATATTATGGAAAAAATAGAGCTATTGTTAAAGATGGTACAGATGTCCTTTCAAGTGCTCTTTGACCTTGAAACTATTTAATTATAGACATCCTTTATCATTTTTGGTTCATAATAGATTTCTTTCTTTTTTCTTTTTTTAAGATTTTGTTTATTCATGAGAGACATAGAGAGAGGCAGAGACACAGGCAGAGGGAGAAGCAGGCTCCTTGGAGGGAGGCCGATTTGGGACTCTATCCCTGCACCCCAGGATCACGCCTTGAGCTGAAGGCAGATGCTCAACTGCTGAGCCACCCAGGCGTCCCCATAATAGATTTCAAATGCTAACTGGTGATAATATTTATCATAGAAAAGGGAAGACCAGTTGTTTTTTGTAGAACTTATTGACATTAAATTTGTCAGGATTTTTAAAAAGTTCTTTAATGAGTTATTTTTCAGCATTTTTCCTGGTAGGATCTGGAGAGACATCATACTTTATATGTAAAGTCGCCTGGGTGGCATATAGAATAGGACTGCCCATACATATTCATGTGTTGTAAATGGGTTATAAGTGTGCTGCTCTGTACTGAAAACTATGATAGGAACTTATGTGTGGAGACAGAGATGAAGATAGAATGACTGTACTCCTTGGTGTGTTCTTTTTCCTTAGTAAATTTAGCTGGAGAGAGGTAGACAGTGGAGGACAGTTTTAAAGGTGAGACATTAAAAATGGCTCGAATCACAGTAAATTCTGGCTTTTAAAAATTTGTGTGGAGGTAAGACTGGGTGTATTAGTTGAGATTCTTTGGTTGTAAGCAATAGATTGACTAAATTAGTTAAAAGAAAGATTGAAAAGTTGCTCACTTAGACTCAAGAAAGAAGACAACCAGGGCAACTGAACAGCTGCCATTTGGTGGGTCTTCCATCCAGGATGTAGTTATGAAATATTCCTTTTCCAACCATCCTCTTCCTGGTTATGTGTCCAACACTGCTGGGGTAACTATTGGTATCTATGGGGAGAGATAAGGAAGAAGGAATTTCCAGGCAGACAGAAGCAGTAGCTATCATTCTATGCAGCTAATGATTTTTCTTTCTTTCTTTCTTTCTTTCTTTCTTTCTTTCTTTCTTTCTTTCTTTCTTTCTTTCTTTCTTCCTTCCTTCCTTCCTTCCTTCCTTCCTTCCTTCCTTCCTTCCTTCCTTCCTCCTTTCCTTTCCTTTCCTTTCCTTTCCTTTCCTTTCCTTTCCTTTCCTTTCCTTTCCTTTCCTTTCCTTTCCTTTCCTTCCTTTCCTTTTTTCTTTTCTTTTCTTTCTTTTCTTTCTTTCTTCTTATTTATTCATGAGAGAGAGAAGAGAGAGCATGCTGTACAAGCAGGGGGAGGGACAGAGAGAGAGAGAGAGAATCCTCAAGCAGACTCCCTGCGGAACATAGAGGCCAACGTGGGGCTCCATCCCAGGACCTCAAGATTTTTTTGCCTGATCCAAAATCAAGAGTGAGACATTCAACCTAATGAGCCACCTGTGCAGCTAAAGATATCTAGTTGACTTACTTGCCTGGTCAAGAAAGCTCATATGTTTACTTATCTTTATGAGTCTCTCTTAAATTAGACCTTTTGAAAGCAGAGAGAGTACCCTGAACACTTTTTTTTTTTTTTTAAATTTCACCCTGCTATGTATATACTGGGAGCTCAGTTTACTACAGGCCCTTTGGAATTTTTACTACACTATTTCTGTATTTTCTGGGCTATTCACCTGTAGTTTTGTCTGTAGTAGATTATACTTTTAAACTTCAGATTATGTTTAAACATTGAGAGTCTGATGTTCTGAAGAGATAGCGATGTACATGATCACACAGAGGGGCTGCCACCCCTAGCTAATCAGGGAACATGTCAGTATTTTTCATGCCAACAAGGGCTAGATATAAATTAGTTAACAGAGCTATCCACAAGAGATTCATGAGGAAGTAGTATTTAACCTCAACAAAATAAATCTTTTGTTAGGAAAGGTGACTTCGTTCACCTGATAATAACGTAACCTTTTTTTTTTTTAAATGGGAATGTAATGTAATCTCTCTTTTTGTTTATTCTTTTAAGAATTATTCTGCGACATGATTTGGAAATGAGGATACATGGAATAGTTGATAAGTTTCTAAGACTTGATCAAAAGATGTGATTTGAGGGACGCCTCGGTGGCTCAACAATTGAGCGTCTGCCATCAGCCCAGGGCATGACCCTGGAGTCCTGGGATTGAGTCCCGCATCGGGCTCCCTGCATGGAGCCTGGTTCTCTCACTGTGTCTCTTCCTCTCTCTCTGTGTCTGTCATGAATAAATAAATAAAATCTTAAAAGAAAACAAACCTGATTGAGTCTTACTGGCTATAACTTTGGATAAATTAACTTTTTTTTTTTATATATTTAACATTTTTTTATTGGAGCACTTGGGTGACTCAGCAGTTGAGTGGCTGCCTTTGGCTCAGGTCATGATCCCAGGGTCCTGGGATCAAGGTTCACATCAGGCTTCCTGTGGGGAGCCTACTTCTCTCCTCCCTGTGTCTCTTCCTCTCTCTCGGTGTGTCTCTCATGAATTAAAAAAAAAAAAATTAAACTTTTTTTTAATTAATGAAAAGGGCATAATGGCATTTGCTTTGTTTACTTCCCAGAGATGTTAGAAATAGAGTGTTTACTTCGGGTGAGACTGTTAACTGTGCTTTAAGTTTCTAATCTGTGAAATGAGGGAGCCTTTTCTAGTGCTCAAGTTTTAGATTTTATTTCTTTTTGTTTATTGTTTAGAACAACTGAAAAAAGTTTCTTGGAATGTTTCCTTTTGCACAGTGCTCATCTTATGAAACATTTCTCCCCCTTCACCAGGCAGTTGCAGTGGTGCAAAATGGCTGACCTCAGTCTTGCAGACGCATTAACAGAGCCACCTCCAGAGATTGAGGAAGAGATAAAACGGGACTTTATTGCCACACTGGAGGCAGAGGCCTTTGATGATGTTGTGGGAGAAACTGTTGGAAAAACAGACTATATTCCTCTCCTGGATGTTGATGAGAAAACCGGGAATTCGGAGTCAAAGAAAAAACCATGCTCAGATCCTAGCCAGGTTGAAGGTAAGTAGTTAAGCTAAACTACCGAGAAACCAGATTAGGGATTATGTTTTGGTTCATAATCTTAGAAACCTTGAGGAAACTGAGTTGAGTTCAGTCGCTTTATCCAAATTTTGTTAGAAACCAAAGACGTAGGTTCATTACCCTTAGTTGAGTTTGTGTTTATGACACTGTAGATTACTTTCAATCTAAAGGTTTCTTCTGTAAAGTCTCAACTATTGTATAATCTGCCTAATTTCCTGAATTTAAACTGCCTGCTGTGCCTTTACTTTGAAAGTAGCTTTGTAAAAAGTCAGGTATATAAAATTCTGTGTTTATATTCAAGACTGAATTTGGAATGGAATCAGATACCACTTGTTGTCTTTGGGAATAATTCCAGGTCAGGATTAAACCACGGATTAAATCTTTTAAAAGAACTTTGCTGCTTTTATATATTGCTGGATCAGATTTGCTGTTTGTTTGAGGATTTTTGCATTTATATTCACGTGGGATATTGATCTGTAGTTTTCTTGTGATGCCTTTGTTTGGTTTTAGAATTTAGGTCATGCTAGCATCCTAAAATGAGTTGGGAAATGTTCCCTCCTATTCTGTTTTCTAGCATAGTTAATGTAGAATTGATGTTTTTGTCTTTAATGTTGGATAGACTTGGTCAGTGAAGCCACCTGGGCCTAGAATTTTCTTGGTCAGGTTTTCTTTTTTTTTTTTTTTTTTTTAAGATTTATTTATTTATTCATGAGAGACACACAGAGGCTGAGACATAGGCAGAGGGAGCAGCAGGCTCCTCACAGGGATGTGGGACTGGATCCCAGATCCTGGGATCCCATCCTGAGCCGAAGGCAGATGAGCCACCCAGGTGTCCCAGGTGTTGTTTTGTTTTGTTTTTTTTTAATAGGAATTCATTTCCTTTTAGAGATACAGAACTATTCAGGTTATTTATTTCTTCTCGAGTGAGCTTTGGTAGTTGTATCTTTCAGGGAATTGGCACATTTCTTCTTAGTTGTCAAATTGATGGAGATAAAATACTATTACCTGATTCCTTTAAAGTCAGTAGGATATGTTGTTAATGCCCCTTCTTTCATTCATTATCTTGGTAATTTGTGTCATCTCCTTTTTTCTTGATGAATCTGGATAGAGGTTTATCAATTGCTGATGTTTTTAAAGATCTAGCTTTGGATTTCATAGATTCTTCTTATTTTTCTGTGTTTTTTTTTTTTTCCTTTAAAGATTTTATTTATTTATTCATGAGAGACACACATAGAGAGAAGCAGAGACCTAGGCAGAGGGAGAGGCGGGCTCCATGCTGGGAGCCCCATGCGGGACTCGATCCAGGAACTCTGGGATCACGCCCTGAGCCAAAATCAGACGCTCAGCTGCAGAGCCACTCAGGCATCTCTCTTATTTTTCTGTTTTAAATTTCTGCTCACATCTTTAATATTTCCTTCCTTCTTGCTTTGAGTTGATTTGCTGTTTTCTGATTTTTTTAAGGTGACAGCTTAGATCATTGATTTGAAACATTTTGTCTTTTCATAATTGACACAAAATATTATATTAGTTTAAGGTGTACAACATGACTTCCTGTTTTATATCTTGTGAGATAACCACCACAGTAAGTCTAATTAACATCTATCACCACATATATTTAAAAATTTTTTTCTTTGTGATGAGAACTTTTTAAGATCTACTCTCAGCAATTTTCAAGTATACAGTATTGTTAACTGTAGTTGCCATGCTGTTTCATCCTCAGGATTTACTTACATTTTATACCTGGAAATTTGTACTTTTTGTCCACCTTCACCCATTTTGCCCACTCACCACCTCTTCTCTGGCAGTTATTTGAAATAAGGTTTTATTTTTTTTTTTATTTTTTTTTTTAAAGATTTACTTATTTATTCATTCAGAGAGAGCGAAGAGAGAGGCAGAGACACAGGCAGAGGGAGAAGCAGGCTCCATGCAGGAAGCCCGATGTGGGATTCGATCCTGGGTCTCCAGGATCATACCCCAGGCTGCAGGCGGCGCTAAACCGCTGCGCCACCGGGGCTGCCCTTGAAATAAGGTTTTAATGTTAACAAATTTCCCTTTAATCATGGTATTATAGTGTGTCCCATAGATTTTGGTATGTTATGTTTATAATTCTTACTCAGTTCAAATTGTTTTCTAATTTCCCTTCTGAATCCCTTTTGAGCCATGGGTTATTGAGAAATATGTTAATATCTCAAAATTGGGAGATTTTCCCAGGTATCTTACTATAATTGATTTTTAGTTTAATTCTGTTGTGGTCAGAAGACATCCTTTGAAATTTCTGTTCATTTCCGATTGTCATGTTTTACTTTATATCCAGAATATATGGCCTGTCATGGTCAGTGTTCTGTGAGTACCTGAAATAATAGGATGGTGTTACTGTGTGGAGTGCTCTTTTTATGTCAGTTGGGTCTAGTTGGTTGGTAGTGTTGTTTAGGTTTTCTGTATCCTTACTGACTTTATATCTAGTTGTAATAGATTTCTGAGAGGGAGATATGAGGTCTACACAGAATTTTGTGGATTTGTTTCTTTTGAATCCTTTGTATTCTCCCAATTTTTATTTTATTTTCTAAAGATTTTGTTTATTTATTCATGAGAGACACACACAGGGAGAGAGTCAGAGACACAGGCAGAAGAAGAAGCAGGCTCCATGCAAGGAACCCGACATGGGACTCGATCCTGGGACTCCAGGATCACGCCCTGGGCTAAAGGCAGGCACTAAACCACTGAGCCACCCAGGGTTCCCCTCTCCCAATTTTTATTTCATGTATTTTGAAGACCTGTTGTCATACAGGATTATATTAGTTTCAGGTGTACAATATAGTGATTCAGCACTTCCGTATATTACTCGGTGCCCATCAAGATAAGTATACTCTTAATCCCCTTCACCCATGATTGTTATGTCTTCTTCATAAATTGACCCTCTTATCATTGTGTAGTATCTCATTATTTTTGGTAATATTGTTTGTTCTGAAGTCTCATTTTTGTCCTGTTAATATAGCTATTGCAGATTCCTTTTATTTTTTGTTTGTTTTTTAAAAGATTATATTTATTTATTCATGATAGAGAAGGGGGGGCAGAGACACAGGCAGAGGGAGAAGCAGGCTACATGCAGGAAGCCCGATGCAGGGTCTGATCCCAGGACTCCAGGATCATGCCCTGAGCCGAAGGCACGTGCTAAACTGCTGTGCCACCGTGGATACCTGCAGCTTCCTTTTGTTTAGTGTTGACATGGTATATATATATATATTTTTTTTTTAAGATTTTTTTTATTTATTCACGAGAGACACACAGAGAGAGGCAGAAATAGGCAGAGGGGAAAAGCAGGCCCTGCAGGGAGTCTGCTGTGGGACTGGATCCTGGACCTGGGATCATGCCCTGAGCCAAAGGCAGGCGCTCAACCACTGAACCACCCAGGCCTCCCTGACATGGTATATCTGTTTCCTTTTACTTTCAGTGCATTCTTTATTAAGAAAAAGGGATTTCTTGCAGACACAATATAGAAGGGTCTTGCTTTTCTGTCCAGTCTGAAGGTCTCTGTCTTTTTATTGGTATTTTAGACTATATTTAATGCGATTATTCATATCGTTGGATTTAAATCTGTCATTTTCCTAGTTGCTCTCTATTTCTTCCATCTGTTCATTTTATTTTTCCTTCTCTATCACAAAGGTTTTGGATTGAGATTGAGTATTTTATGATTTTGTTTTTAACTTAAATATTGGCTTATTATATATATTTCTTTTAAAATTTATTTTATATTTGAGGTGACTGTGGTGGCTCAGTCAGTTGGGCATCTGATTCTTGGTTTCCAGTTGGGTCATGATCTCAGGGTTATGGGATTGGGCCTGCATGGTGCTCTGCACTGGACATGGAGTCTACTTGGGATTCTCTCCCTCTCTCTCCCCCTTTGCCCCTCCCCTTGCTCATGTTTTCTCTCCCTCTCTTTCTCTCTAAATAAATGAATGAATAAAGTCTTTAGATAAATAAAATTTGTTTTATATTTGACCTACTGTTTACAGTGTATATCTTTAATTTCTTCCAATTTGTCTAATTTTACATATATTAGTAACCTACATTGTCACTCTTTTTGCTTTAGACTGTTACCTTTTAGATTAAAAATATGAGAAATAACCATTTACAGTTAATCCCATTTTTATCATCTTGGGCATCCTGTTTCCTTGTATAGACCCAGGTTTCTGTCTAGCACCATACTCCTAATGACTGAAAGAATTCTTTTAACATTTTTTAAAAAGATTTTTATTTATTTATTTGACAGAGCAAGTGCATGAGCAAGGAGGGGAGTAGAGGGAGAGAGAGAGAGAAGCAGACTCCCTGCTGAGCAGGGAGCCCAACACAGCACTGGATCCCAGGATCCTGAGATCATGACCTGAGCCAAAGGCAAACTGACTGAGCCACCCAGGCACCCATCTTTTAACATTTCTTATAGCACAGGTCTTTTAGCAATGAATTATTTCAGGTTTGGTTTATGAAAAACAAGCATTCAGTTTTGGAAGATACCTTTCCAAGGTGTTTATTCTTTGTGACTTTTTTCTTTTATTTAGGAATATTAGTCTTCCTAGTTGGATAGTTTGTGATAAGTCTGTTATAATCTTGATCTTTGTTCCTGTTTTCCCCTGTGGTTGCCTCCAGGATTTTATCTTTATCTTTGGGTTTTGCATTTGGAATATGCTGTGTTTAGGTGGTATCTTGGTATTTGTACTGCTTGGGGTTCTGTGAGCTTGATCCATGCTTTGATGTGGTTCATGAAGTTTGGAAATTTTTGGATTGTTATCTTTTAAAAATATTTCTTTGCCTCATTCTTTCTCTTTTCTCCTGGGATTCCAATGACATTTTTATTAGATTTTTGGGTATTGCTTCACAGCTCTTGGATGCCCTTGTTTTTTTTTTTTTTTTTCCCTCCTTTTTGTTTTCTGTGTTTCATTTGGGCAGGTTCTTTGACCTATTTTCAAGTTCTTCGATATTTT